CATACATACCAAGATGAAACAAGTCTTTGTGTTGACTTGATACCAGGGTGTGCCAGGGAATTAAGTATGTCGAAAGCTTGACGTCAAAAATGTTTAGTGAGGTACGGACGTGGCTGACCGGTTGAAACGTCGCACACCAGTGTTGGCGATGATAAATCTGTCTGGACTTCCTGGAGCTCCAGTGAGTAGAAGGAGGAGCTGAGCAGCGTCTGGAGTTCAGAGTCATTTTTCTGGGAAGCTGAGAGGGCCGAGCAGTCCAGAGGTGGGTGTTCCATAAAAGACGCATCGATGTGGACGCGGGAAAGAGTATTGGCTACAATGTTTTCTTGTCCTTTGATGAACCTGATGTCCGTTGTAAATTCTGATATGAATGCCACCTGACGAATTTCTCTCGGGGAGTGCGCAGCACTACGAGAGGCAATGGCGTACGTCAGCGGCTTGTGATCTGTCAGTATGAAGAATTGTCTCCCTTCCGGAAAGTGACGAAAGTGCTTGACAGCTGAGTAGGTGGCAAGTAACTCACGTCCAAAGGTACTTACTGTACTTCACCTCTGTAGGGGACAGTCATTTCGAGTGGAATGCGATGGGGCACCAGCATCCATCAATCAACTGCTGACAAACTGCGCCGATCGCTGTGTCTGAGGCATCGACCATGATGGAAGTTTGAGCGTCCCATCGGGGACGCGTCAGGAGTACCACTTTGGCTAACTGGTTCTTGATTCTAAAAAAGGTTTCCTCGGCTGCGGGGTTCCAGGCTAGGGGTGAAGTCTTCTCCTTGACTCCCGCGAGAAAAGCATTCAGTGGGCGAAGTACAGCAGCGCATGCTGGGAGAAAGCGACAGTAGAAATTGATAAGTCCCAGGAATTCTCTGAGTTGTCGCACAGTGGTTGGTCGTGGGAAATCCTGGATCGCTTGGACTTTCGACGACAGAGGTTGAATGCCGTCTTTGTTGAGGTGGTGTCCGAGAAAGTCCAGTTCGGACACGCCGAATGTGCTTTCTTGCACATTGATGGTGACACCGAATTCGTCCAGACGTTCGAAGATCGTTCGGAGATGACATTGGTGCTCTTCAGATGTCTTGCTAAACACCAAAATGTCATCCAAATATGCGAAACAGAATGGAAGGTTTCGCAACACTTGGTCCATAAAACGCTGGAATGTTTGAGCGGCGTTTCTTAGGCCGAATGGCATCCGCACATATTCAAACAATCCAAAAGGTGTCACAATCGCTGTCTTAGGAATGTGTTCTGGCGCAATTGGGATGTGATGGTAGGCCTTCACGAGATCAAGCTTGGTGAAGATGGCTACCCCTGCAACGGCCCCGGGGAAATCATGAATATATCGGATGGGATACCGGTCTGGTACCGTGCCTTTGTTCAGTGCACGATAGTCGCCGCATGGCCTCCAATCTCCAGTTATCTTTAGGACCATGTGTAAAGGAGACGACCAGCTGCTCGATGAAGGCCGGACAATACCAAGCTCGATCCTGTCTTCGAACTCGTTCTTTGCGATTGTTAGCTTCTCGGGAGCTAGCCGCCGGGGTCGTGCGAATACGGGTGGTCCGGTAGTTTCAATGGAGTGTGTAATGGTGTACTGCGTGGATGCAGCATGGAACGATGGTCGTGTTAGTCTCGGGAAGTGATAGAGACGGGCCTCCCATTTTGTCGAGGCTGGGGGACATGGCTGGTGAAGTTGAAGCTTTTGGTCTCGGACTTCTATTCCCTGGACGTGTAGATGCGTCTCACCATCGTGAAGCTGGTACTGACGCATGTCTACGGTTAGGTTGAAGAACTGTAAGAAGTCCGCGCCAAGGATAGGGTACTTGACATCCGCGACTATGAATATCCAGCGGAAAGTCCGTATTTTCGGTACCTGAGATAAAAGTGGATTTAACAAACGATAAAAAAAAATTATATCCTTACCCGTTTCACGGCCTAAATAGCACAGATTGCCAAAAGCAACGCGAAAATATTTATTCCCATGTTAGCGGTTCCAGCCGGTTCCAACAGCTTCGAGCATGTTTGAACCGCTATTTTTGCTCCCCGGAGCTGCACCGGAACTGAACCGAAATCCACTAACCCGAACTTGAACCGAACCAATATAAATTTCGATTGGACACACTGGTGAAGGGTTTTGTTGTTGATCTGTTTGGGGAGATTATTTGTTACTCAATGTTTCGCCATTGCAAGTTAGTTCAAGCCACTGTAAACGGTTAAGGAGAGTTAAAAGGAAATAAAATATAGAGCTTTTGTTTTCAAATCTTGACGTGCAATTTTTCCACATTTAAAGGAAAAAAATGGGCGGCGTTTCTGCATTATTAATAAAACTGCAATAATAGATAAGCATATCTTTCTTATACATGCGTAATAGGCATTTAAAGATAATTATGTTAATATATTTTTCGGTGTTTCATATTAAGTAGTTCGGTGGTAGCTAATTTGTGAATGTCTCTCAAAAACCTGTTTATTTGACGTGTTTCGTAAACTTTTCTGCATTGAGATATTTCATTTAATTTGGAATAGTCCGCCTAATGTTGCACATTTCTGATGAAATAAATAAAAAAAAATCATTATTATTGCGTGCATGCTTCGGTGTATAATTGACTGCTGTGCGAAGCATTACCTAAGACAAACATTGACGATCTCCACGCCTCGACTTTCGGAATTTTATATCTCCAGAAGAAATTAACTACGGCATTCGGATATATCTGAATACTCCTACCAAGAACATGGTTTTCACATACACATATTTTGCTTACATAATTATTAAAACTATTACCCGAACTATCATTGTACGATCTGACATGAAAACAGCGATCTTGGCGCGACGGGTTCAGAACGACCCATTTAAAGCTTCGAATATTTGAAAGGACCGGAATGGCGATTGCACAGAAACCGATAAGCCAATCACCTTGCGAGGTTCCGGTCATCTGTATGTTAGTATATGTTATTGTCCGGGAGCAGGAGGCGAAGGCAATTGTGCTACGTTTCCAGGATGCAGTGACTTCAGCGCCGACTAAAAGCTCTTTTTGGTAAGGTCATAGGGATGCCCAGCACGTGACGTCGGCGCGCCGTACCAATGGCCGTTCCTGCCTGTTCTCGTCCAAAGCAACGAATTCGGTGGTGTGGAATGCATGGCGCCGAAGGTACGCGTCTAGCATTAAGGTCCTTCGCAGTGGTCGCTGATATCACGTCACTGCAAACTAAGATGCAAACCAGCGTTGGTGCAAGCTAGGGTGCATCAATGTCCTCCTGCTTCGGGTGATGCCATTCTTTGTTGTTCCCGATTCTAAAAGCGAAGCCGACAGCACGCGTTTCCAGGGAAAATAGAAAGAAATCGTCGTAATTTAAATGCCACCGGTACACTGTCAATTAAGAGAGTTCGTGCAGGGAGGCGCTCTATTACGGGCTCTAAAACAAAAAAAGAAACAAAAGCGTCGGGAACAAAATGGTCAGATGTTTTCACCCTAGCAAAGCGCTCATAAAGGCTTCCCAGTGCAAGCCATGTACAGGCGTTTCCTATGACGACAATGAAACAGGTGGGTCTTAGAGCTTGCGGCTGACAGAGAGAGCGAGAGAGAGAGAGAGAGAGAGTAGGGTGTGCGAAGTGGGGTACAAGTGTGGGTTGGGGGGGGGGGGGGTGCAGCTGCCTCCATTCTCTTTTGGGTTTTCTGGGGTGTAAAATGCAGTCCTATGTACCAAAAGTTGCCTGCATCCTTAAAAAAATTAAAACGATGTGTTTCTTTTGTGCATGCATGCATGCACGCATTGATAGATGATAACTGTTATACCCTTGTAGCGGGCGGTAGCTTCCGTAGCCTAGCCTAGAAATATTGGCACCCCCCTCCCCCCCCCCCCCCATCACATTTTGCACTAGTTTTCGTCTCGGTAAAATCTGGAGTCAACGAACCTTCCAAACCTCCTCCTTATTGAGTGTAATCCTTCTTTCTTCACGGTCTTTCCATAATCGCCAGCGAAACCCAGCGCTCTCGCCCTGTCTGTTGACTGCTCAATGAGTACAGGACGAAGACCCGTGCATCCCTAAACCAGACTGGTACGTAACTATTTACAAGTAACTGATTGCTTGTAATCAATTACATTTTTTGTAACTTTTGAACGCTCCAATTACTTTTTCTCCGGTAACGTGCGCTGTACTTCTATTGCTATTTTTTGTAATCAATAACAAGTAATCAATATGTTTCCGAACTAGCTAAAATGATTGGGGTGAAATTTTTTACGTAAAAAAATTGCTGTCTGCCCATGCTTCACTCATCAATGTTGCACCAAGGTTATACGCGTTTTTTTTACCCCTAAACATCTAAGAAAAGATACCACGGTACCAGAAAGCTTAGAATGTCAACGCGCTCAGCGACGTTTTGACTGTCGAGCTGTCGAGAGTGCCCCGTTTCATGTGTACGGGTAATTACAATACGGCTTTGCCCCGGCATAGACGGCTGGGTTCTGCACTGACCTCATCTAGCCACGACAAAGACCCTCCCCCTGATTCCCTCCCCCCCCCCCTCCCCGCCCCCACTTTCCATCTTGAAAAACAACAAAATAAACAAAATGCTACAACATTGGACATATGTATGCGGTTTTGATTTCGTATTAAAAACTTTAAAAAGGTAACGCTAAAAGTAGCCAATTACTTTCTGATAATTGTTTTTTTCAATTATTTGTTCTTATCTAGTCACTGATTACTATAAATAGTTACATTTTTCAATAAAGTAATTGTGCAGGACGTTGCGACACACGGCTACGTAACATCGGCCGGCTTTCGTTTACTCGTACATTACGCCCCATTTGCAGGCGTTTGCGTTACCAGTACGGTTTCTACAGGGGCTTTACATACGCGTCGGATTTCAGCCGCCACTGCTGACCTTCAGAATAAAAATAAACTGAAAAAGAAGGTTGTTTATGTGGGCACCTATGCACAGCTGCCGCAACGTGTCTTGAATAGGGTGGGACAAATGGTCTGGCTGCACACACAGCAGTGGTGTCATGGAAGGAGAGCAGCTCTTTGAATCTGAAAACTTGAGCGCCATCAGTAGGGAGGCCGTGCGAGAAGCCTACCTAACAAAGTTCGAGCCCCGGAGTTACGCCGAGATCACCAAAGAATACCGCTTGTACCCTTTCCATCAGGAGGAGCTGCATCGCATATTTTTCTCAGGTTGGTTTTTACGTTTTCTTTAGGTTGCACCATCAATCCTTTTAAGATTGAAAAGAAGGAAAAACTGTGCGCACAGTTAGAGTTACATGTGAGGTGCGTTCTCTACAGCGCGTACCGTAAACAAAATCAATACCGGGGTTATTTTGTTTTTTTTCTTTCGGCACTGTGCAAGCTGTTCCAGCCTTGACAATGCAGCGTAAAATATTTGACGTCAAGTTAGGCAAAAGGCTGCCCTAAATCCGTCCTCGCTTCGATTATCCAAATCCGCGCTTGTGCGCAAAAAGAAAAAAAAAAAGGTTTAGAGGCCTGAAATGTAAGTGAGAAAAATTGCATTTGTGTACTTTCCGAACGGCATGTAAAGCTCCTTCTGGGGACAATCGTGATAACCGGGAATGAAAGAAAACAACAAATAAGGCTTATACCTGCTGAGTGCAATCGGTTGGAACGTTATAATCACGTACCAGCCTCGTACACGTTCCTTCAAAATAGGAACCAATGATCATACCTCGTTCACTCTCAAACTTGGAAAGAGATCCCGTTACAAGTTCCAGTGATTCGAAAGGAACGCGTTCTCAATACATCTTAAAAGATAGAACGTGTCGTTTGGTTAACGTTGCTTTTTTGTATTTTAATGAAATCGCGTTCTAGAAAGTCTGTAAATAAAAAAAAGCTAGCGAGCGATAACACGTTCCGTCAAACTACGTGTCGTGCCGCTCGATCGCATTTCTTTGCAGTTTTTTATTTGTATCGGCGATCTCTCTGACACTTCCTTATCCCTCGAAGTCGGAGGTTGAAATAGTCGACAAAAAAAAGCCTAAGTGCCTACTAAATCCGTGTGAAATTTCAGATAAAAAGACACAAAAGGGAAAGCCGTTGCTCCTGCCGTTCCCTCGGAACCGTAACAAGTTTCGGTTTTCCACCGCTGCAAAATGGAACAGCGGCGTTCTTCCGCTCGTTCGAAAGAGGAACGCGCTCCATGAACAACGTTCCTTGGAGCGCCGTTCCGTACAACACTGGTAATTACCTGCCTTTTGAGCGGGGCACGTGAACAGAGCGTTCCTCTTCCGGTGATTTAGCGACCGAGAGAGTTTCCGCGCCTTCACTAGCGAACCACCCCAGGCACCAAAGTATCAGAGCTTGCCGTTGCTTCATACAAATGTTATAAGCGATTTTCAAAAATTCTTCTTAGGAAAATGGCTGCCGATTTAACCATCGAATTCAAGGGGATGGATAGCATCAGCTACCTGTAACGGACCTCATTTTCCCATTAAAAAGGCCGAAAAAGCAATTAACTTTTCAGTATAAGATAGTGGTTTGTTCGGAAACTTTGACATCTCGTCCGGACCGTTAGAGCTACATTTGGGCGTGTACTAAGCTATTGACGATGACTTTAATAGTTCATTTTTTTGTGATTAAAACAACATTGCTTCTTTTAACTTTTTTTGGAGACATGGTGTAGTTGTTAGAAGAGATTCATAAAATTCAGTTGTCCCGCGTTGCTCTGTTTTGTTTTTCCTGTGTGTGTAAAGTGCGACTAATGGCTGGTTTACAAATTTTGTGTCAGTATCTTCCAGAGGTACCAAAACGACAGGAACAGGGGATACACCGAACATTTCAGGGCATAATTGCCTTCACGGTGCTACTTTTTCACATATTCGTCACCGTTTCCGGAAAATCTCAGAAGACGTTACGGCTATACCATATTGCACTCTGCATCGAGGGGAATGGACCTGGGTGGGTGGACGGCCTTTTAATCGGGCGGCGACTTGTGCCGGCCCGCACTCCGGGAAAATTGAGAAAAGTGGTCTTCCCGTTCTAATGATCGGCAAATTCGACCGATTCAATCGTTACAGAGTTTTGTGTGTAATCTGGAGCTACCTTGAACAAGTGTCGTGTAGAGTCCAAGGACCTCTCATACCACTTCTCACATTTCTTGTTAATCTCTGCGTTTTTTTTTTTTTTGTTTTTTTAAATTTGTGTATAGAGTCCAATTCTGTAGGAAAGGACCCGGGACCTGTCTTATTCGGATGACCGTTTATGGAACACTAACCTTGCGGGTGCCCAAGCCCCGGGTGCTCCGCAATCGTCCGCGCGCTCTTCCTCGTTCTTTATTTCTCAACATCCTGCCGGGCCGGCGCTGGTGTCGATGCTACCTCAAGAGGGAAGAGCCGCTGGACGAGCCTGTTGATCTCTCGCCCAGGATGTTTTCGTCTGCCACCCCAGCTCCGGGTGCACGTATTGTTTTTCGCTTGGTGATGTCCTTCCATTTTACCTTCCATCACTTTGGAGGAGCTCTGCGCTCGGTGCTTGGGAGAGAATCTGCTTGGGTGTCCTCGGACGGTAGCTGCTTTCTCTTTAATATTTTTGTCTTTTTCTGCTCAACTTGGACCGTGGCAATTGACTTTGCGTTCGGATTGTGCGCGGACTCCGGAGATGCTGCGCCCTCTCTGCCTTTCGGAAGTGAGAGACCGTCCGTTACCCCAGCTCTAAAAGTCTTGCAGACCTCCGCTTGTGCGCCTTTCAAAGTCCCTTCTCACCGACAACTGCCGTCGCCTTCGAATTCAAAGCGACAAAAGTTCGAAGTTGACGATTCTTTGACACACGCCGAATCCGGCTTCTCCGACCATCCCTCAGTCGCTCTTTTGCACTTTAGACCTGGCAGTATTACATTAGTGTCATGACCTTCTGTCCTTCTAGAGCTGTGTACGCTTTGTCGAACAGTCTGCTTGCCTATTGGTAGTAGTCCCACAACTCTTGACATATCATGTTGTTCTCAGCTTGCGGCCGCATCCGCGGTGGCCTCCGTTTCAGACGGATTGCTTCCTTGCGAGAGTTTGCAATGCTCGAAATTTCCGGGCTGTGCTGAGCACACGATTTCCGCCAGCCCTGACATTCCGTTCGGTCGAAAGATCTGGTGTTTCCCGTCCGAGTGCCCCGCGGCAGCTGGCCGCCTTTTCAGCTTCTTATGGGCGAACCTTGACTGCTGAACCGTGCCTAAAAGGTGTCGGTCTTTCTTCGGCCCAATTGATTGTTTCTCAGCGCGAGTCTTCGCGATCCTCCCGTTCTTAGTTGTCGTCTCACTCACATAATCTCCAAATGTTTGCGCTGATTCGTGTAGAATATGATTTTCATCCCGTTCAGCCTCGCGCACCGAACAAATCTTCACCTCTTCTTCTGCTCCCAATTCCATATATTCAATGCTGGGCCTAACATGCATAAAACCTTCGGTTGCAACGTTCGACTGCAAGGGCTCGCCCCTCCTGAGCCGCAATAGCTGGCAGTGAAGCGGTTTCTGTTTTCTTGAGGCCGAGCGATCCACCCGTCTGTCGTAGGCATCCTCCGTGGATATAAAGCTACCCTTAGCAAAAAGAGGCCGTACTTCAAACGTAGTTGAAATATATTTAGTACGAATATTCATTTTGTATTTATTCTGTATTATTTTGGCCGCATTCGAAATACGCGCGTAATGTATTCAAAATACATTATAAATATGAATCAAAAAATATTTTAGATATACCAAAAATATTATCCCTTCACACTCAAGATGCCATTTGTGCATTAAAAACCGGTTACACAATTTTTTTTTATTTTCGATTTTGTCAGCAAATGGTGTCCCTGTGCTATACGAAGGCACTACTAGATACATCTCACAAAGGTACATTAGAAACGAACACAAACACAAAACACCATGACGCACTGAACAGCCCATTCACAGTGCCGTTGACTGCTCTAGAGCCTTATATAGCCTACATATTGAAGGTAATCATTTTTTCGGTGACCACCTCTGCGCTTATTAAGGTTCCAAGTATTCGATCTTCTCATCGGGAGTCTGTTAAAGGGGAAACAGTGTTTTGAAGTTCGTGGACGATATCTCTTAGTAAAAGGCATTGGTACAACTAATAACAATTCGGCGCAGTCCTTAAAACAATATCCACACAAACGGCTCATAAAATACATGTTATTGCTTCTCTGCGTAGCACCACTCAGGACGAAGCGAATCAAGGCAGTATCTTCACATTAAAATACTGTAAACTACTTTATTTTCGTAAGGACTTAATTCTCGCAAAGTTCGCGAATCGCCTACAATTCCGAAAAATAGGTCCCGTGAACAATTCCGGCAAAATGCAAAAATATTAAAATCTATATTGCGATCCCAGCGCGTCGCGAAAATTAGTATTTGCGAATTATTCCAAAACTCCAACTTTGACCTAAATCGCGAAATATTGAGCCCGCGAAAAATAAATATCTTACAGTAGTTGTTTTGCATTTCCATTTTAGTAGTTGACTATTTAATATGGTAGTTAAAATCACTATATTAAAGTCACTATTCACATCACGTACAATGGTGAGTATACACGTTCAGTGAACTAATATTGTGCTAACAAAACCACTCCAAACGTATCTGGTCACGGCACCTGCTGAAGCTTTCCAGCATCAGCAAATATTGTAGTTGTAGTACCCGAACCCCGTTTGTGATTGGTGTGCAAGGAACTGATCAGATGTGTCCTTGATAGAAAAAAAGAAACAATAACATAAACTGGGCTGATTTATCAGTGCGCTGCTCCGTAATTCAGTTGACAAACTAATCAAATGTTGTATTTAGGCGCTTCAGTGTACTCCATATATATATCTACTTGAAGTGAACTCCTAGAAGGGGGGCTTTTCAATATTTTGGTAGTTTAAGTCGAACTACCAAAGTATTGAAGTCAAAAGGTACTTTGAGTATAACAAAACAGTATTTACGATTTTCAGGTATTTTAAGAGTATTCTGCACGTATTTTTGATTGCTCTATTTTTTTTAGGGTTGGAGTATATTTTGCATGAATTAAATAAATATTTCAAGAAATATACGTGAAAGGTATTTTGTGCCTATTAATTTAGTATTTACATATTTCAAAACGCATGAGGGGAACTTCAAATGTAGTTTAAGTAAAGGTATTTTAAAATGATTTTTAGAAGTATATTTTAGTACTAAGTAAAAAAAAAAGAAGTTTATATTT